GGTGGGAGGAGGGGAAGTTGACAAGTCCGGGGGGGTTGGTACCAAGGTGGGGGTCAGGGTGGTGTGGGGAGTTCGGCGGGGGTCAGGGTCGGAGGAAGATTCAGCAGCTTGAGGAGGGGCTGGGCTGTTTCAGTGTCTAGCGCTTGGGGGAGGGGGTCTGGCGAGGCTTGTGGGGTGCAGGGTGTGGGTGGCGATGGGGGGATGGGTCGGGGGAGGTGACAACAGCCTGGCGGGAGGGGGTATTTGTGCCCCATGGGGTGGTTGCCGGGGGACGTGCCCAGGCGCAGGACGTCTCCTCTGGCCGGTTCAGCCTGACGGGGAGTCTGTTCGGTGTCTCCCCCGTCCCAGGACCCCATGGTGACCAGGGCCCTCCAGTGCCTCCGGGAGTCGAGCACCAGCGACCTCTACACGCAGGCGCTGCTGGCCTACGCCTTCGGGCTGGCGGGGAGCACTGAGCTGCGGGACGCCCTTCTGCAGCGCCTGGCCCAGCACAGCGTCAGCGCCGGTACCGACAGCACCTCGCTCTAGTGCTCCCCTTGCTGCTGGCCTCTAGACACAGGGCAGGGCCAGCTGCCCCCCACGGCCCTGCCCACCCAGGTGCCCCCTGCCCCGGGATCTCCTCAGCCTGGCAGAGGAGCTGTGTTTCCGTGGCCCAGTCAGTCCGTGGTCTCTGCTGAGGCTGCCAGCGAGGGGCCGATGCGCTGGGCTCCGTCGTGGGGACACTTCTCCCCTCAGAGCTGGAGTGAGATTGTCCCGCCATTTCCCAGGGCCCAGCGCACGGAGCGAAGGGGGACGAGGCTGGGTCGCTGCCAGCCTGGGGGATCGGAGCTGAGAACCTAGAGGGGTAAAGCCCCATTTACCAACCCAGCCCTCTAACGCGCCCGGGGCCAGGAGTGTGACGGGGTCCAGTGGGCTCAGAGTCCGTGGCGCAGGGCCTTGCGTAGTTAGCTGCCAAGGGGAACGGGCCATAACCGAGCCCTGGGTAGATGCCAGAGGATCCCAGCCCCATCCTGTGTTGGGGACATCCCAGCTGGGGAGTCCCTGCCCGAGGCTTCTCTGCTTGGCCCGGTTAATACTGGGAGGGAAACGGACTGCACTGGGCTGGGGCCAGGGCCAGGGCTGGGGCCGGTTAGGCCCTGCCATCTCTGGGAGAGGGGGTTGTACAGGGAAGCAGGTCTCTGGCTGCCCCCTTGTCTGCCCCATGTCCCCCAGCTCCAGTTCCCCTAGCCTTTCCCTGCACAGATGCCCTTGGGTTTGTGCCACTCCCAGCCCAGCCGTGGTGTGAGCGATGCAGCCTGGGGCCAGCTCCCCAGAGGGCGGGAGGTCCCATGTGAGGCCTGAGGCCCACTGGGAGCGCGGCTGGGGACGCAGGAGGTGACGCTGCACCGCGTCAGAGCTGAGCTGAAGGAGCCCTCGGCATGAGGCCAGGGGGTGCTGGGAGTCCCAGGTTGGGTCCCTCACACTCGTCATGACCATGCCCCAGTGATCTCTGTGCGTCTCCTCGGCGCAATTCGAAATCAGACTGAGCTGTGCCTGGAGCTGAGTCCTGGCGTGCTCGGTTCCTGCCAGGCCTTGGGGAGACATCCCCCACAGAGGGGAACCACCTGCGTAGTCCGGGCGGCTCTGTCGTGTCTCGGCTCAGGTGAAAAGTCCCTTCTCTCCGAGCCCGGCGCGGCGGCTGCAGCTGGTCTGTGCCCGCGAGTTGTGTGAGTCGCCTCCTGCCCCGCCCCGAGGCGGGTAAGAAGAGCTGGGAGCAGCACGTGGCTCCTGCCCCAGGGAGGGGAGAGGTGGGGGCTCTGCTGCTGGGGGCACAGAGGGGCCACCAGGCACTGGGGTAAAACAGCCCTCGGGTAACAGGACCTGTCTCCAAGGTCACAAAGACCCCGTGGAGGGCGGTGTTTACCAGGCATAAGCGCCATCCATGTGTCGCGGAGTATTGGGGAACTCAGGGCCCTGCACCCCCGGCTTCCTGCGATTCACCATGACTCTCAGCCAG